TAAGTCCTTCTGTTTTCTTCTTTTTTTTTTTCCTCCCCCTCAGATAATTAAACTAAGAAGTACATTTCTTAGGAATAGAAAAGTTTACATTTTACCACAGCATTTCAAGAATCATCCTGATTCTATGCAATTATATAAAGCATCCCGATTCCATGAAGTTTGAAGAGAAACATTTTGATTTTATATTGTTGGATGAATCATCCTGATTCAATAAAGTTTGAAGAAGATCATCCTGATTATGTGAGATTGGAAGATGATCTGTCGATTTCTTTAGAACTGGAATTCTCATTGAGAGAAAAATTAGATTGAAGAGTTCCACTATGAAGTTCTGACTACAGAACAAATTAAGACACAATAACACGCCGAACAAATACTAATTCAGAAGTCAAACAACAAAAATCAGCGTTATATTTTCAAATTTTCACAAGACTAGTTTCGATGGTTTTACCGAACCACCAGCCTCAGCTGCAAAAGTGCAAATGGAGCACTGCTTTTGCAGCTGAGAATGGTGGTTCGGTAAAACCATCTAAACTAGTCCTGTGAAAATTTGGAAATATAACGCTGATTTTTGTTGTTTGACTTCTGAATTAGTACAGAACAAATTGTTCAACATATGGCTGATTGTATATGTTACGTAAATACTGTAGTACATTCTTCCTACTATTACTTGAATTCTTTTGAACCACATCACGTTTTCTAGTGGGACAAAGAGAAGCTGTATGAAAGATATTACAACGGTGATCACGGTGCACTTTTTAAAGAAACCCATATAATTAATCCATACAAGAAGCCTCCAAACTCTTCATCAAAAAATTCCTGGCTAGCTCCTCATACAGAAGAATGTGAAATATATTGCTGGCTCTTTGCTGAGAGGTCGTACGAGCCAGAGAAGGAGTCTGCAACCTCATGGCTTTCAGGCATATAGTCACAGCAAGATAGATTTTTTTAAATGGCAAATGGCAATGGAAAGATAAAATTTTTGAATACTTAATAAAAAAAAAAAAAAACAGTAACTGACATACAACAGTAGAAGCTAACAACATTTAGATGCATGGCCTCCTGTTTACACAACCTAATTTCTTTCTCTTCTTTATTAAATTTTTCTTTGAAGCATAAATAAAAATACATATGTTAGCATGCAAATAACTGTAAACTCATTACACCTTACTAAATCTTACACTTGATGGCATTAGATTCTAATAAAGTTTGTACCCTTAGAGAAAAATTACTGGAAATTAACTTAAAGATGCTCATCAGTGAATCGGATTCTTTTCTTATCAGTTTTCAACTATGAAAAAACACTCTTTGCATACAAACAAAACACCCTCTCCACACAGAAAATACAAGCAGTGATGGTGCAAGCCCTTTGATCCTGTAGATATACTCAAATTCAAATTCTTTTTTTAAGAAGAGTCAGTTATGGCTATGGACTGGCTGAGTGCTTTATCATTAACATTCCTCTAACCATACTTTTGTAAAAAAATGCTAACACACACGCACGCAATGCACAAATTTAAAGTTTATAATTATTATCATCATTATAATTATAGAGTAATGTAAAATTTTTATTTAATAAATTTATTAAAACTAACTTCAATATATACTTATTAATCTTAGTTCTATGTGATATCTAAAATTTTGCATATTTATGTTTATATTTGAAGTATGTAATACTGAAGAATATTTGATTTGTGAACATAATTCATAGTTAATAACTGCAATATATTTATGTAATAATTTAGGATGCTAGAGAAGACACAAATAATTTTAATCATGACTGATGGTTGTAGATGGTACCGGCGTGTAGAATGCATATTGTTTAGTAAAAGGATTCAACATTCAGACTGCAGATTACCATAACTTATTGCTGGACAGATAATTGAGACCCTTATTCTGATTTACGCATCATTATGGGTGCAATCTGCAACCAATCTTTATTATATTTTTGGAAGTTTACTATGTCTTAAGACATATGACGGATGATAGACAGAAGTGAGCTGCTACATGTTACGTGGAGGCAAGCAAACAAAAAAAGTACAATGCATTCAGAAGAAAGTCTGGGAGAGAGTCAAAAGGTTTTGATTTCAATTGAAATCCTGTTTGCTGATTGGCTAATGTACCTGCATTGCAGCATTATGCAAGATCATAAGATATGAAATAATTTGAAATAATGCAGTTTAGACTGACATATAATAAGCCATTGCTTTCATTTTTAATCTTATATATATAAATTAAAATTTATCACCTGATGATCAAGATATTTAAGCATTATTTAAACAACTATGAAAAGTATTATCCCTCAGGTACTAGATGGCAATCAAATTATAATTTCTATATAATGACATGAAATCTTTTCACACATCCCATTAAAATCATAATATGAAACATATTATGTTCAAATTATTACAATTTGATAGCCAAAGAATATAACATTTTTTCAGTAAATATCGTTTTCAAAAATAATAAAAGACCAAAGAACTTGGTTATATTGCATCTCTATAGACATAGCAGATAAAAAATAAAGAGATCTTAAAATAATCTCTTTGCTTTTCTAAACCTTCAGTTTTAAGATCAGAAACAATAATGGAGTTGCCACTTCACAAAAAATAAATAGTTTTTGGAAACAATATAGGAGACGTTACATACTGTTCTAGCAGTGATGATCAGGACACATAGTCTTTTAAATTAGGCAGCAACCTGACATTGCTTTCACTGCATGCATCGGGGGGGGGGGGGTAAGCCTACATCATCCTTGGACATGGAAGTTTCCATTGACTGCACTGTGTTGTCATTTAGAATAAAACATGGTTTCAGTCTATCAATTTATATTCTTTTGACAGTTCCATTAATTTCTATATCGAAGTATTATGGTGCTCAGATTTTATGACCTAAGAACCAAGATAAACTGGTTGGACAGATTAAGTGGCCACATTATTGAATACAAAAACAGGCAAACAATTTGAAAGTTGCTTTGAAACAAAATTGGTTTTACTGCCATAAGTAGTTGTGATAGAAGGTCTAAAAACTATTTATCTTTTGTCAAATAGCAGCAACTCCATTATTATTCCAAATCTTAAAAACAATCAAAATGAAAATGCTGTTCCTTTTCTTCCATTATCAAGTTCTCTAATGCTTATTTATTTGAATGGTTAAAAGGTAGTTGAAGGGGGGAATGATTATTTTAACATCTCCTTCATTGGTGACCTGGATGTGATATGAACACACCAATGTTCTGGTGTGGAGTCCGTAGTTATATAGTGAGACATTTTGAAATGACATATTCAGATTGAAATTATGCCTTTTGCAACTGCTTCTGCTGATTGATCTGTTATAGGAAGTGTTTCACCCGATATCTTGAAACACGATCATTATTAGCAAATATTTGAAGCCTTGACACTTAGGTAAGTGTCCAACAATATCAATGTGGATGTGCTGGAAACATTTAGGTAGAATTTTAATTTAAAGTCCATTAGACCTGATTGTATATGTTTTTAAACTTCAATCACCGGCATGCTAGATATGCCCAACACCATAATTGATAATCTTTATTAATATTTGCCCAAATGAATCTTTGCATGATTACTTTTCTGGTGATGACGAATTCTTCGAATCCTTAGACGTGATAGAGTATGAATAGATAAAAATATCTGTCGATGAAAATTTGAGGGAATCTATAGACAGATACTGTTGGTAGAAACATGCGCATGTGTAAATGCATACATTAATTTCTTGGTGCCAAGAATGAGAATTTGAACCATTTTCAGCCTTGGGCTATTTTTAGTCCAAAGGGGCAATCCGTCCAGGAAGACTTTTTCTTTTTTTTCATTTTACATTGATTCACTACAAGCTTTGTTACTCTTTTCAAATTGTTGCCACCAAATATTATTGCCTCGCATTATATTTAAAGAAATTAAGTAATGAAGAATTTGCATAAATGTGTTTGTTTCTCGCATTGTGATAAACAATGGTACCTAGAGCCATTAAATTTTGAATAATGCAATCTTTCACTGAATATGGGCATCTGGAAGCCCGAATTTGTTTTATTATCGATTTCATATTTTTTAAAACTTTAATGAATTTTTTATTAACAAACTCGAGTAATGGCTAAGTTGTACAGAAAAAAAAAATTTTTTTACCTCCAGCACACGAGACTGTGTATTGGAAATTCTAAAGATACGCTCATTTTAAAATTATTTTATGATATTGCTCTTGAACTGAATTTTATGGTTTAAATGCGAAGAACATGATATTTAATAAATAAAGGAACAAAATATTTAACACAAAATGTTAAAAAAAAATTAATCTTTGGACAAAATTTAAAATCTGAAACCTTTCAGACTTTTTTTTTCCTTTTATTTGTTGATATTGTTAATTCTTTTTCATCTTGAAATTCGGCTACAGTTGCATTTGAAGATGGCGCGGAAATAGTATTAATTCTGGAAAGAACATTGGCTACAACATTTTTTTCCCTACATCAAGTATCAAATATTCATCGAAAACTGCGCAATATAACTCAATTGCCTTGCTTGTTTGGAGGAGGAGGCTTTGTCTAAATTTTGCTGAAAAGCAAAGGTTTATGGTCGGTGTAAATGATGAAATATCTCCATTCTAATATGTACACCTTGCACAGAAAAAAAAGAGGACACAATTCTGTATCTCCCATTTTACTGGACCTCTTGATTAAAGGTCTAATTCCTTCGAGATTCTTTAATTGTTACGAGACTTAGAAATTTCATAACGCAAATATTTAATTTTAGAAGTACCAAAAACTCTTTTTACAATATTGATACATAAACCATGGTCAGTTAACCTTTTAAAAGCTATGTATAAGTGCTCAGGTGTCAATTTTCTTCAAAGGAAGCAATCAGTATGCTGTCTAAATAACAGACTACAAAATCTGATGCTGAAAACACCAAGCAATGGGTGAAAACAGTCATATAATGGTAGAAAAATTAATACAAAGAGAAAAGAATATAATAAATTTGTATAAAAATTCTTACTTTTTCTTTTTCACCATAGGCTAAGAATTTATGGATTTTTTTTAAAACTTTCTTTTGAGATCTTGATAAGACAAATTTCTTAGCTTCACATCTAGAAAAAACGCATTCAGTTACAACAACAACAACAACAAAAAAAAAAAAAAAAAAAAAATTTTTAAAAAAATTTAAAATTATCTTAAAGGCTTACTTGATTGTATATTGAGGACAGCATGTTCGGTGCATGGTTGGTTTATAACAATATTTTCCACTCCTATAAATATTACATAAATATTATGACATACAATGTAATACCAAAATAGTTACATATTGTATGTTGTGCATGTGTTTGTTTACAGTAGCTGCTTTTAATGTGATCATAGTTAATGCTATCATTTTAATACTGTTAGTGAAATGCTGAAGTCTTGTCCCTTTGTATGCAAAAACATGAAAAATGCATCATATATTGTAATCAACAAGTCAGTTAATGTTATCAAAATACAACAGTCAAAAGCCTTTAATCCGGACTCGTCGGGACTTTGGCGATTCCGGATTATCGATATTTCCGGATCATTATTCATTAATTTAAATCCCGTAAGATGGCATGCAGAAATTATAAAATTAAAAATATGAAAACGTAATTTATGAAATAAAGAACAATTATGATCTAAAGGGTATAAAAATTTACGAAAAAAAAGCTTAATATATATTTGTTTACTTTACTTTCTTCGCTATCGGAAGCGAATTATAATGACAAGGAATTTGATTTAAATCATATCAAAGACGGAGTACATCGAGATGAAATACTATATTTAATAAGGAATTATAAGCCGAATAAAATAAAAACATCTGCCCTGAAGATAAGGATAGTGCTGAGAGCAACTTCCAGTTCATTGTGCGCCACAATGTTTCCTCCCCCCTCTCAGAACACCGTGAAATTGATGAACAGATTTCGGAATGATTAGAAAAACAAAGGATATGCCTTTATCCATTTTTTGCAGCAATTCCACTTTTTGTTTGATGAACATCGAAACATGCTTTCGCTTTGTAGATCCTTTGGCAGCTCCAAAAATCGGAAATTCTTTTTGACATAATCAAAAATTCAAGCTTACTTTTATACAATTGCTCTAACAGTCTGCAAAAAATAATAAGCTGAATCCAATTCGAAGATTAAGGAACAACGCAATCTGCAACATTAACTGAAATAGATAATTTTAGCTTAGCTTATACCGTCTGTTATACATTAAGCGCGCATGCGTAATACCTTTTCTGCGCATGCATACGTAAATGCACACGTAAATGCATTAATGCGCATGTGTAAATGCATACGCATTAATGCATTTACGCATGCGCAGAAAGTTTGTAGCTTTGAGGTATGGATTATAGATCATTCGGGATTATGGACGTTCGGATTAAAGACTTTTGACTGTATTATACAAAATTTTTAACTTAAAATAAATTCACTAAATAAAAGACTAATTAATAAGAAATTGCTAAATAAGGTTGAAACAGTGCCAATGACGGAATCATTTCAACAAAAATGTTGGCAAAAACAACTTAATAAGGAATTAAGTAGACAGGCAACTTGATTTTGATTGAAGGCAACCATGTTAAAAAAAAAACGTTTTTTTTTTTTTTTTTTTTTTTTTTTTTTTTTTTTTTTTAAAGTTTTATGAAGACTGGAGTGGACTAAATTTAACAAAGTGGAATTTTTGACCATGCTTTCTTGCACTAAAATACTGCTTTGCTTCTTTTGAGCTGTAGACTTTTAATTCTGTTTAGGATGCAATCATTATTTTATTCTATTTAGTCATTTTTTCATGAAGTCTAGTAAAAGATGGAAAGGGAAGGATCTGAGTCTCAAATAAAATTGACCTTTTAAACCATCATCAAGCAACTCCCAAAAATGAGTAAATTTAATGCTGCATATTTCTCAACCCCTCTTATGTAATATTTTGAAGCATCATGAAGATATTATTTACAAATCAAAGAAAATCAACATGAAACACATGCATAGTGAGAAAGATCATAGTACTGAGAAAGATTTGTTTCATAAATATTTGTGAAAAAGGTGTGGCAATCAAAAGTCCATTGATGGGGTAGAAAACTAAAGAATTAGGCGTAAAAATTGGGAAAGATAATTCTGTAGCAACAGATGGATTGTTTAGTTAATGAAAGCAAAGAGGAAACATAGTTCACAAATGTACTCATGGTCAAGAAAAAGACCTTGATTGTCCCACTGCAGAAAAAGGTTGTTGAATGAATCACCTAGAGCAGTGGTCTGAAAACTACATGTTATGAGACTCTACCTGAATTTTGTTCATTCAGTCGGTACTGCATTAAAAGAAAAGTAAAGAAAAATTATAATTAAGTAATATGGGCAATCCACCCAATTAATTCACTGTAAAACAGGCAATCCACCTTAATTAATTCACTATAAAACAGGCAATCCACCTTAATGCAAAGTCATGGTGCATTTTTACTTTATTTATTCTAAAACATAAAAACGATACAATGTTGCGAAACCATAAAAATTTAACCTTTAAAGAAATTACATTTATACAATCGTTGAGTTGCTCGCAACATCTCCTCCCACCTTTTGATTTATTGTGGGCAGAACATACACTGGTGTGCAAAAATTAAGGACGAGACGGTTTTTTCAATATAACTTTGTACAAAAGCTTTCCAAATCAACACATTTAATACCGTAAGATCCCCAATACGTAAGGACATGAGTAATAATGTAAGCAACACTTACTAAAAGAGAAATCAGAGGGATAAAAAGAAGCTTTATTGAAAAAGTAGCATGGAACACAATGCGACTGAAGGCCGAAATATCTCTATGATGGATGTCCAGCAAGAAACATCCGGTCTTTAAAAGGGGATATGATCTCCCCTGACTGCTAGGCAGGTTTCACAGCGTCTGCCCATGCTGAGAATGAGGGTGTTGATGAGTTGTTGAGGCATTGCTGTCCATTCGTCTTGCAGCGCCGATCGAAGCTCCGGAATTGTTACTGGTGGTATGGTACGAGCTGCCAAGCGTCTGCCTAGAAAATCCCATACATGCTCGATGTGATTGAGATCCGGAGATCGTGCCGGCCAATCCATACGTTCAATATCCTCATTCTCTAAGAGCTGTTCGGCAGCTACTGTGCGATGACATGGTGCATTGTCGTCCACGAAAAGGAACTGCGGACCCATAGCACCTCTAAAAAGATGCACATATGGAAGAAGAATCTCATTACAATAACAGGTCCCGTTGACTGAACCTGCGTCGAAGATGTGAAGGTCTGTACGACTACCAAGCATGATGCTTCCCCAAACGAGAACACCGCCACCTCCATACCTGTCCCTTTCAATGATGTTCGAGGGATGATTGCGGCTTCCCCGCTCTCTCCAAATGAGTATGCGATGAGAATCGCTACTCAGACTGAATCTGCTCTCATCTGTAAAGAGTACTTGTCCCCATTCATTGTCTCTCCAATTCCGGTGTTCCCGGCACCACAGAGAACGCCTTCTCCGATGGGCAGGCGTTAGAGGTACACACCGTACAGGGCGTTGTGCAAACAGACCACCACCGTACAGTCTTCTGGCCACGGTAAAACGCGATATCGGTCGTCCAGTCGCCTGTGTCGTGTGTCTAGCGATTTCTCCCGCTGTCTGCCGCCTGTTTCTTCTGGCCTGTAAGGCAATATACCGGTCATCTGCGGGTGTGGTTCCTCGTGGACAACCACTACTAAACCCCCGGATAGCTGTTCCTGTAGATTGAAATTGTCTCCAAAGTCGTGAAACGATGCTGTGAGCAATTCCGAACTCTGCAGCCACACTTGTCACACTGCGGCCTTCCTCCAACTTCCCAATGATTCGACCTCAGGTAAAAGCATCCAGATGTCGTCTAACAGATTGATTATTCGCCATTTCTCGCTGAGGCAGCAACTCGGTGTACTTTTAACTGCTATACAGCGTGCAATCTCTTTGCCAGAAATACTGATCTTACACCGACAACATGCTTTATACTACTCAGACACTCCCCCATTACGTCTACCTGCATATCTGCGCATGTGCTACCGTACATCACCTTACTTAATCTCCTGATTGGTCTTTCTGTCCGCTCTGCCTCTTCATTCAGCTGATATGCTAATTTTTCGACTTCGTCCTTAATTTTTGCACACCAGTGTAAATCAAAATACAACATACTTAATAACAAGACTAAACAATACTTAGTATAATCATAAAAGGAAAAAAACTAATTAAAACGCAAAGGTTTTACAATAGTTCTACCACGTCTAGTTTTAATTATCTTATCAGGAGGTTTAAAGTTAATTTCTTTACTAGCAGGAATGTTAAATTGGTTTTGTTTAGGTAAAAACAAGTTCTCGTCGTCCATCACTTCCAAAGGATACAGTCGTTGCACAGGACGGATCAATTCACCTGCAGCTGTTTTCACCTTTGCCACTCTAACACAATTATCTTGACTCTGGAATAGTTCAATAACTCGACCCGATGGCCAGTCCAATCTTTTTTTGTTGTCACTTCCCACTATCTCTGGACTGAATTAGGAGACTCAAATATTTGTCTCTAAACCTTTTTCTGAGATCTTGGTGTAATTTCTGCTGAGTTCTATATCTCTTAGTGATATTTGTCTCTAAACCTTTTTCTGAGATCTTGGTGTAATTTCTGCTGAGTTCTATATCTCTTAGTGATATTGACTTCATCTATATGGTCTAAGTCCAGAACTCCCACCGTTCTTATATCCTGAATAAACATAGAGAGCGTTAAAGGCATTAAATCTTCAAGATCTTCAGACAAATAATTTGATGGTCTTGAGTTGATTACAGCTTCCGTATGGCAGAGAATGGTACACAGCTCCTCATATCTCAAGCAGGCTCTTCCTAATATTCTTCTCAAAATTTTCTTAACCATTTGAATAATATGCTCCCACCAACCGCCCCACCCCGCAGCTGTGGGGGGAATTGAACTTCCATGTAATCTTCAAAATAGAACATTCTTGCATAGTTTTGCTCCAATCAAGTGAAAGGAAGAGGTTGTTAGTCCCAACAAAATTCGTACCATTGTCACTATACATAGTCTTTGGTCGTCCACGTCTGGATATGAACCTTCTTAAGCCCAACAAAAAATCTTCGGTGGAAAGTTCTTATATTAATTCAAGATGTATGGCCCTATAAACAGCACAGGTGAATAAAAGTATCCAGCTTTTCTTTCCATCCTTTAGATAAAGAGGTCCAGATAAGTCTACTCCAGTTACTTCAAAAA